CTGAGCCGACGCCTGCGTCCTGACGCGGCGGAGGAAAATGGAGGAGCCTTCGTTCACAAAGGCCGCGCCGCGCCGGGTCCGGCCTCTTGGCCGGGAGCGCGGGTTCTCGCCCGCCGGGGAGGCCCGGGGCCGCCGTCTGTGCGGAGCAGGTGCGGCCGGCCCTGGCGTCTGAGCGGCCGGCCCGCAGCCCCGCTCCGCCGCCTCCCTCTCGGCCTGCCCTCCTTCCCTGAGCGGCCGGCCCGCAGCCCCGCTCCGCCGCCTCCCTCTCGGAGGAAGCACACCACACGCATGCGCCGCCGTATCCCCTCTGAGCACGGATGGGGCGGAGCAGGGACTCCTCGCACGCGGTCCGGGGTCCCCCGCCCGCGGCGGGTCTCAGGGAGGTGGCAGCGTCCAGAGCCCGCTGGCAGGCGGCGGGGGCCCGCGGCGGCGTGCGAGCTGTCGGCGGACGATGGAGCGGCCGGGCCCGGGGGGTCTTGGGGTGGACGGGCCTAGCACCGTGGGTCCGTGTCGCTGGCCGTGACCACACCTGGCCAGCCCTCCGTCCCCAGACGCAGGCCGTCAAAGGAGGGACCCGAACCACAGAGAGCGTCCCCGGCATCGTCCTTCCCGGGGGCCAGCGCGCCTCAGCCCCGCGCCGCCTACGGGACACCCGCTTCAAACACAGCAGCCTTCGACATTCGGGGAAAACCGCAGCCGGTCACCACACACGCTTGGAGAATGCGCTGTACCCAATGTTCCTTTATTAAAAGGCAGAAGCAGCAATCTTACACTGGCTAATAGATTAATACTGACAAATAAGACAGCAGATCCGGGATCCCAGCAAAGCTGGATCATTCATCTCTCTGCTATTAATCCCACTTTTCTCATATAATGTGACTCCCTCCAAACAGGAAAAGTAATGTTTAAAAATATATTCTTGCTGAGCACCAATGGCTCACACCTGTCATCCCAGCTACTCAGGAGGCTGAGATCTGAGGCTACTAGTTCAAAGCCAATCAAGGCAGGAAAGTCCATGAGATTCTTATCTCTAATCACTGAAAAGCCAAAAGCACAACTTTGGGACAATGGTAGAGCAGCAGCCTGGAGCAAAAAGCTCAGGAACAGCACCTGGGCCTTGAATGTGAGCACTAGGACAGGCAAAAAAGAACAGAACAAAACCTGCAAGCCATATATCTCTGTTTGAGAGAAAACAGTGACAACTCAGACCCAGAGATCAAATGGCAATTTTTATCAAGACTAGAGAAATACCGTCACAGTTGAATCTTGGCACAGGTGAATCTTGGCACAGGTGAATCTTAGCACAGGCGAATCTTAGCACAGGTGAATCTTCGCACAGGTGAATCTTGGCACAGGTGAATCTTGGGACAGGTGAATCTTATCACAGGTGAATCAGCACAGGCGAATCTTAGCACAGGTGATCTTAGTTCAGGTGAATCAGCACAGGTGAATCTTGGCACAGGTGAATATTAGCACAGGTGAATCTTGGCACAGGTGAATCTTAGCACAGGCTAATCTTAGCACAGGTGAATCTTGGCACAGGTGAATCTTGGCACAGGTGAATCTTAGGTGAATCTTGGCACAGGTGAATCTTAGCACAGGTAAATCTTGGCACAGGTGAATCTTAGCACAGGTGAATCTTGGCACAGGTAAATCTTGGCACAGGTGAACCTTGGCACAGGTGAATCTTGGCACAGGTGAATCGGCACAGGTGAATCTTGGCACAGGTGAATCTTGGCACAGGTGAATCTTGGCACAGGTGAATCTTAGCACAGGTGAATCGGCACAGGTGAATCTTAGCACAGGTGAATCTTGGCACAGGTGAATAGGCACAGGTGAATCTTGGCACAGGTGAATCTTAGCACAGGTGAATCTTGGCACAGGTGAATCGGCACAGGTGAATCTTGGCACAGGTGAATCTTGGCACAGGTGAACCTTGGCACAGGTGAATCTTGGCACAGGTGAACCTTGGCACAGGTGAATCTTGGCACAGGTGAATCGGCACAGGTGAATCTTGGCACAGGTGAATCTTAGCACAGGTGAATCTTGGCACAGGTGAATCTTAGCTTGATGCTATCGTTTTGTGTCTGTGTCCCTACATTGTAATCCTAGCTTCCCCCATTTTTTTTAAATCCAAACTACCAGAGGCCTTTGCATGTGTGAGTCAGACACTCTACTATGTAAGCCTCAGCTCCAGTCCTTTACTTCCTTTAGCTGTTTTGATGGGGTCTCATACCACAATGTTCCTCTGTAAGCCATCCATGGGGCCGGATGGCAGGCCTCTGCCACCATGGTGGGCTTGTTCCCTGAGACGTCAGGCTGGCCTGGCAAAGGACTCTCAGCAGAACTTCCTCCACCAGGATGGCAGGCCTCTGCCACCATGGTGGGCTTGTTCTCTGAGACGTCAGGCTGGCCTGGCAAAGGACTCTCAGCAGAACTTCCTCCACCAGGCTTCACACAGCTCTGGACAGAAATAGGGAAGTTGCTTAGAAGCTAAAACCATTTGGCTCTAATTAGCATATTACTCTCTTCTGCTTCAAGTCACACTAGCACACACATACACACACACACACACACACACTAAGGAGTAGGGTCCAAACCGCACGTGCCCTGCACACCAGCCGTCTGCCCTAGCACTGCAGCGCACGGCTTGCCTGGCCACCGCTCCTCCTATTACCCTCAAGACAGAGTCTCAGTGCTGGACAACTCTGTATACCGCTGACTCTTGGAGCTGGCTTTCCCTAACACTCAGTCAACCTTGGCCTTCATTGGTCTATTAATTCCTCCAAAGATCTGTCAGCTAATATATACTATTGCTTCATGGGTGACACTATTCATTTGCCCTTTGTCTGCTCACCAGTCCGGCTGGATTACAACAAACCTTCACTGTGAGGAGTCACAGGAGAAGTAACCACGCCCCCAGGGGGCCCAAGGACAGGGGAGGTTGTCAGAGGGCGTGCCTGATGCCTGAGCGCGTGACACACACTCACACACGCGCATGCACATGCACAGACACACACACACGCACGCACACACACATGCGCACACACATGCACATGCACACAGACACACACACACACAGCAGCTCACCCGCACTCTGATGGTTACCCCTCTTCCATCCATTTGTCACCTCTGCAGACTTCCGGTGGGGAGCACGTCTCATCTCGACGTGAGCCCTGGGGTGGGAGGTGAGAAGGGCAGCCGGGGCGTGCTGAGCTGAGCTGGCGGGAGGCCGGGAGGCCAGCCTCTCACCCAGCGCCTCACCTCGCGGGCGAACAGACCCCCCAAATCGTGGGGGGATGCGATATGCAGGTGGCACAGAGGTAACCGCTGAGGGCAGCCGCATAAAGGCGGCGTGACATGACCGAAGACGACCAGACGCGTGCCACCAGAAATGCCCGGCGGCGGGGCAGGGGGGCCTCAGGTTCAAGGCTGAGTACCAGGCTGTCCAGGGCCACACAATAACACCTAGCAGTCCCCAAAAAACAAGCAAACAAGGCTGTCCGGGGCCACACAATAACACCTAGCAGTCCCCAAAAAACAAACAAACAAGGGCTACACAATAACACCTAGCAGTCCCCAAAAAACAAACAAACAAGGCGGGGAGGGGGCGAGGGGCGGGGACAAGGTAAGTCCCATTAGGATTTCTTATTTGGAAAGTCAACATGTCCAAAGGACTGCTACTAATTTTACCATGGCAAAAGGCAAGAAGAGAGTACCTGCAGCATTTCAGACAGATGTACTTTAATATTGCTCTTCATGAAAGCCGAGAAGCTCACTGATGCTTTGAAGTCATGCTACTGATAAACTAACATCACAGAAAGCGAGTGGTTTTGCTTATGATCCAACTGAGGTCTAAGTTCTGAGGGCTCCTGGGCCTCTAGCTCCCCATAAACCACTCCGTGTCTGACTGTTACCACACAGGCTGACGCACCCATCAACACCGTACTGGGGCTGAGGGCCGGTGGCTCACACCTGTCATCCTAGCTATTCTGGAGGCTGAGATCTGAGGATCAGGGTTTGAAGCTAACCAGGGTAGGGAAGTCTGTGAAACTCTTAATTCCAAGTAACCACCAAGAAAATCCAGAAGGAAACATACTCAGATGAGAAATGACTTGACTATGTGTTCAGTGTGTGTGTGTATGTGTGTGCTTGTGTGTGTGTGTGTGTGTGTGTGTGAGAAAGAGGTCCTGACACTTCGGTGGGTTGTAGACTACTGAGGAAAGACTGCTATAACACCTACACTACAAGTACATGTTGTCTATGAAAACTCTATACAACACTTTAGAAAAGGAAATTCTCAGGTGGATTTTTTAAAATAAAATCTACGTGAATATACAACGATAAAAAAATAAAATAACCCAGAAGTAGAGCTGTGGCTCAAGTGGTAAAGCACCAGCTTGAAACACAAAGCTAAGGGAGAGGGCCATGGCCCTGGTTCAAGGTCCACCCAGTAGTGGCACAAAAAAATAAAAAGAGAAAGAAAGGAAAGACACTATCCAGGAGAGTCAGTGTAGGATGCTGGTTCCCATAGGTCTGATCCATCAGATAATTTCTTTTCACCGAATAAGGAGAAGTTGGCACTGACACCTTTCAAGTCTCTGAGACTGCAGAGAGCTCCTGACAGCTCCCCACCCACAGAACTGCACACGGGGTAACGCATCTCTGCCAGTTACCCTGCGAGCGCACGCCCAGGCACAGCAGCTTGCTGAGGAAGGTCAAGTAAGGAAGGCCAACCACCTCCAGCTCTTCCCTCCCACCACGTCCTCATCTCCAACAGCTTCCCTCCAGAAATAACTAGAACGCATGAGCTCACCCACAGGGAGAAGCCAGAGGCATGACACCTCCAGGCGGCCTATTTATAGCAAGTGTTAACACTCCTCAGGAAAAGACACCAGAAGTCTCCTTGGAAACGCCCATGCCTGTCCTCCCTTTGGAATTCCACCCTGCTGACACCACACTGCCTTTGAAACAAGCCGAACCAGCACAGAGGTACTTACGGCTTTCCCCCGGGGATCCCCGCCAGGCTGGGAGGGATGGCAGGTACTCTCATGTGCGGAGGAGGATCAAACCCAACCTGAAATAAAGAATGAAGCAAGGAAGACCCAGTTTATGCCACACAGACACTCTGTGAACATCCGCTTTGCACTATGTCCCCCAACGCCCTATCAACAGGAATAGGAAAGGTAGACTGGACGCCAGGACCACCTCTGAACCGCCCAGGACACGCTTCCTTGCTGAGAGACGGAGAAAGGCTTAGCCTCTCTGTGCAGAGCACAGGCTTCCAGGGGAGATCATGGGCACAGCAAGCCAGAGCCGGGTACTGGAAAAGCCAGCAGTGTGGACACTCTGGGCTACCGTAGGAGCTGTGCTGGGCGGTCAGGTGCCAAGGGCATCTCCCCAATGGTGAGGATCAGAAGTATCCTCCTTCAAGTTGATGCCACAGAGTGTTCTGTGGAGTCCCTCTTGCTCCTGCATGACAGCAATTACTCCCTCAGTGGTTCCTCCACACGGGGAGAGAACTCTGAGCTTTACTTGACATCGTCGTCAATGGGAGAAATGGTCGTTGAAGAGGGCAGGGAAGGAATAGTACATGACACATTTCAGGTTGTCAACAGATTTCAGTTTGCTGCTGGAAGTGACACTCCATTCCTTCTCTGATGCAATGCAATTCACTCTTCAAATGCAGTTTTGTATCTACTTGGTCAAAGCTGGGCTGTGTGCAGTGGAGGAGGCGGGGAGGAAGACTCTGCCCGCACGCCTTCAGCCTGCCCTTGTGTAACCCCATGTAACTCCCCTACCTACCTACACCTTGCTACTCCCTTTAGAGGGCAGGCGTGGGCACATGCCTGCAGCTCACCCTGTGTCACCAGCTACTCAGGACACTGAGACCTGGAGAATGGCGGTGCAAAGCCAGCCCAGACAGAAAGTCCACTGAGATTCCATCTCCAACAAACCAGCAAAATGCCAGAGCAGAGATGTGGCTCAAGTGGTAAAGCATCAGTTAAAAAAAAAAAAGTGGAGAGACAAATCACTAAATTCAAGCCCCAATACCAGCACCAAAAAAAACAAACCCCCAAATCCCCAAAGCTGTCTTTTCCAATGTATTTCCCTTACATTTAGAGAGGGAGAAAAAGAGCTTAAGAAAATGAAAGGAAGTAAAGGGTTCTGTGAGCTTCTAGAATCATCTCATTGCCTTCAAATAAAAAAAGTGCTTTAACATGTAATGACTGACTGTAATGTAATGACTGACTGTAATGTAATGACTGACTGTAATGATTGACTCCTTCCTCTTGGCTGTATTGAAATGTAATGACTGACTGTAATGACTATAATGTAATGACTGACTGTAATGTCCTGACTCCTTCCGCTTGGCTGTATTGAAATGTAATGACTGACTGTAATGTAATGACTGACTCCTTCCTCTTAGCTGTATTGAAATGTAATGACTGACTGTAATGTAATGACTGACTCCTTCCTCTTGGCTGTATTGAAATATAATGACTGGCTGTAATGACTGACTGTAATGACTGACTGTAATGTAATGACTGGCTGTAATGTAATGACTGGCTGTAATGTAATGACTGGCTGTAATGTAATGACTGGCTGTAATGTAATGACTGACTGTAATGTAATGACTGGCTGTAATGACTGGCTGTAATGTAATGACTGACTGTAATGTAATGACTGGCTGTAATGTAATGACTGGCTGTAATGTAATGACTGGCTGTAATGTAATGAATGACTGACTGTAATGTAATGACTGGCTGTAATGTAATGACTGACTGTAATGTAATGACTGACTGTAATGACTGGCTGTAATGTAATGACTGGCTGTAATGTAATGACTGACTGTAATGACTGACTGTAATGTAATGACTGGCTGTAATGTAATGACTGCTGTAATGACTGACTGTAATGTAATGACTGGCTGTAATGTAATGACTGGCTGTAATGACTGACTGTAATGTAATGACTGACTGTAATGTAATGACTGGCTGTAATGTAATGACTGGCTGTAATGTAATGACTGACTGTAATGACTGGCTGTAATGACTGGCTGTAATGTAATGACTGGCTGTAATGACTGGCTGTAATGACTGGCTGTAATGTAATGACTGGCTGTAATGTAATGACTGGCTGTAATGACTGGCTGTAATGACTGGCTGTAATGTAATGACTGGCTGTAATGTAATGACTGACTGTAATGACTGACTGTAATGACTGACTGTAATGTAATGACTGGCTGTAATGTAATGACTGGCTGTAATGTAATGACTGGCTGTAATGTAATGACTGACTGTAATGACTGGCTGTAATGTAATGACTGGCTGTAATGTAATGTAATGACTGGCTGTAATGTAATGACTGGCTGTAATGTAATGACTGGCTGTAATGTAATGACTGGCTGTAATGTAATGACTGGCTGTAATGTAATGACTGGCTGTAATGTAATGACTGGCTGTAATGACTGGCTGTAATGTAATGACTGACTGTAATGACTGGCTGTAATGTAATGACTGACTGTAATGACTGGCTGTAATGTAATGACTGACTGTAATGTAATGACTGGCTGTAATGTAATGACTGGCTGTAATGACTGGCTGTAATGTAATGACTGACTGTAATGTAATGACTGGCTGTAATGTATTGACTGACTGTAATGTAATGACTGGCTGTAATGTAATGAATGACTGACTGTAATGCCCCCCTGACTCCTTCTTCTTGGCCCTATTTTAATGGAATGATCCCGGTACGTAATTCCCTATTACACCCCGGAAGGGGTTTGGGGGAACATCTTTAATGTGCTTTGGTGGGTGAAAAACCACTGTCCTCAGCCCACGGCGGGCTGCCCCACACCCATCACCCGTGAAGCCGCACGCTGCACGCTGCGGCCCCCCCAGCCCCAGCCCCGGCCCCAGCCCCGTCCCAGCCTGCCCCCCCAGCCCCGGCCCCGGCCCGGCCTGCCTGCCCCGGCAGCCCTACCATGGGGGAGCGCCCGTAGGCCACCGCGGCGGCGGCGGCGGCAGCAACGCTCATCTGGGGTGACATGTTGTGCAGACTGGCGTAGGCCGCGCCAGGGCTGTTCAGCTCGCCGTTCATGCTGGCATGGGCAACCATCCCAAAAGGAGCGGGGTACGGGCCGGGCACCGCCAGGGGAGTCCTCAGACCGGCTGCTGGAAGACACGCGAGGTGCAGGTGACTCCCAGGGCCGGCTCTGTCAGCGCCAACCAGTGACCCCGTGTCATTGGTTTGTGTCAACTCCAATTTAGACACTGGCTCTACCTGTCCCCACAGCTGGGTGCCAGGACCCCGGCCAAAAGCACAACCCGCACATTTCCTCACGGGCACAGGCAGCCTGGGAAGCCGGGGCAAGCAGGGTGAATCAGCACCAGTGCACCCGATTGAGACAGGGCAAACCAAGGCACAGACGCTCCGAGTTTACCTGACTTAATCTCAAAAGAAGATTTTCTCGATAAAATCCAAGATTTCTCCTTCAGTCCGAACTTTCCATTCCCTGGTACCAACTCCAAATGAAAACCAAATCCTAGATTTACGTAAACCAAAGCATGCGTTTAGGAGGACTGAGGTGGGCCGGCCTTCCTTGGACTGAGGTGGGCCGGCCTTCCCTGGACTGAGGTGGGCCGGCCTTCCCTGGACTGAGGTGGGGCCTGCCTTCCTTGGACTATGGTGGGGCCGGCCTTCCTTGGACTGAGGTGGGCCGGCCTTCCTTGGACTGAGGTGGGCCGGCCTTCCCTGGACTGAGGTGGGGCCGGCCTTCCTTGGACTGAGGTGGGGCCGGCCTTCCTTGGACTGAGGTGGGCCGGCCTTCCCTGGACTGAGGTGGGGCCGGCCTTCCTTGGACTGAGGTGGGCCGGCCTTCCCTGGACTGAGGTGGGCCAGCCTTCCCTGGACTGAGGTGGGGCCGGCCTTCCCTGGACTGAGGTGGGGCAGGCCTTCCTTGGACTGAGGTGGGGCCGGCCTTCCTTGGACTGAGGTGGGCCGGCCTTCCCTGGACTGAGGTGGGGCAGGCCTTCCTTGGATTATGGTGGGCCGGCCTTCCTTGGACTGAGGTGGGGCCGGCCTTCCCTGGACTGGGTGGCCTCTGGTTTTTCTCCCAGTGAGGAAGGCCGAGTTTACACATCCCAAAGTCCTCACAGCCTGGTGTCTCGGGGAGGTCTTCCCCACTTCCACAGAAGGAGAGGTCGCCGATGCCCGAAGATGTGCCAACTGCAGGTACACTGCAGCCCAGACACTGGCCCTCTCCGTCCTATCCCGACGGTTTGCTAAAGGGCGTAGGGTGGGACTGATTACCAGAAGCTTTATCTGAAGTCCCTAGGATTTTAGATTATGTGTGTGAAAAGGAAAGACAAATGGAACACAAACAGTTGGAGAGCAAACAGCTGCTGAAATCCAAGGACAAACATCTGTTTCTTACTGTGCCTTTTTTTGCTTTTTCTTCCCAGACACAGGGAAGAGGGTGACTGCAAACGTGTTTTGTATTCGTGGGGAAATCGCATCACAAACGCAGCGCCACGTAGACCCAGCCACGAAACCCAGCACAACAAGAGGGGGGCTGTACCAGCTTGGTTGACGAGGGGCTCCATGGCTGGAGGCTTGCCGAGGCCCGGGCGGAGGCCCGGGGTGGCGCTGGTGCCCGGCGCTGGCAGGTCACTCCGAGGCGTGGGCGTACTGGATTTCAGAACCGGCGTGCTGGCTTTTTCATGCTGGTATCATTAAACAAATTAAATGAGTATTATTTTTAATCCAAGCCATATTACACAATTTATCACAACAGCAGCTGGGACACTGGGCACCTTCTAGCTACTCCCTCAGCCAATTTTCATAAATCCACACAATGTTGACAGCATTAACTCGTGAGCGAGAAACGTTGACCTTTCCTCTTCCTGCCAGAATTAAAACCAGAGCTGAGCCATGGAGCACGACCACACTTCTTCCTCCGTCGGTTGTACTTCAACAACAACACAAGAAGAATTTCCCGTCAGCCTTGTGGACGTTGGCCGGGTGCCAAGTCAGAATGGTGACCAGCCAGAGGAGAGTCCCCAGCCGCCTGGAGACGCATGCAGAGGTCACCAAGAACGGCTGTGGGGGAACGGGCCCTGGTGTTTTGCCTTTAGGTGGTGGCTCTGGGATGGAGACTGATAGACCAGCAGTTACAGGAGACACTAACAAGACACTAACACATACCACTGGATGCGAGAAATACATCTGAAAAGAATGCCCAGCCGGGCACCGGTGGCTCACACCTGTAATCCTAACTACTCAGGAGGCTGAGATCTGAGGATCACAGTTCAAAGCCAGCCTGGGTAGGAAAGTCCAAGAGATTCTTATCTCCAATGAACCACCAGAAAACCATTAGTGGTGCTATAGCTCAAAGTGGTAGAGCGCTAGCCTTGAGCAAAAAAGCTCAAGGATAGCGCCCAGGCCCAAGTTCAAGCCCCATGATGAACAAAAATAAAAGAACACCTCTGGAGTTCTATGTCCTCTCCTGCATGGCTGCCCGGTCAGCACAGAGCCTCCTATGTATGGGAGACTGGACCCAGCCAGGGACTCCCGCACACTGAGCAGAGATGGGGTTGGCGAGGCCATCCTCTTCCACGGAAAGCCTGAGGCCACAGCTCCGCCTGGCCTTGGGCTTGGGGGGCCGAGTGCGAGTCACACACCAGCTCCCAGTAGCCTTGGACCCAGGGGCGGGTAGTCGTGGCCAATGACGAGGGTCCTTCTCCCCTTCCGAGAAACGGGACCGAACCTGGGGCACCGTGAGAGAGCGACAGGCGACCGGCTAGTGACCAGCACCACGGGAGCAAGGACAGGACCACGTCTTCTGTGTTTTTCCTTCCGGTCAGTTGGGAGGGGGGCTGAATGCGAAGCCCCCAGCCCGCCAGCTCACCGCTCGCTCCGCTGCCGCTATACCATCTGAGTGGCACGCAACTCAGGCCCTACGGTTTGTCAGTCACGTTGGAGATGGAGTCCAACAAACTAATGTTTGGTCTGGCTTCAAACAGCAATCCTCCAGATCTCAGCTAGGATTACAAGTGCACTCCTAGCATTTCACTAGGCACCCCAAGCTCCTTGACCCGGAACTTACTATGTAACTGGGCCACAACTTGAGATCTTCCTACTTTAGCTTCCCAAAAGCTGGGACTGGAGTCGTATACCACAATACACTCCACCAAGTGTTTTAAACACATAGGTCCTGATGTACCTCCCAGCCACAGTCCCAGGTCCCTGTGTACGTTTGAGTTTTAATGAACTTCTCCCAGGCTCATGCTCCATGACGTAGCCTGACGAGACAGCGCAAGACACAGGGTACACGGACAGCTTAGCAAAGCAAGGGGACTGTTTGCTGACTGCACAAGCGTCACAGAGCTCTGGGTCATGGGTATTTGCAAAACATGACGCTCTCATCGTGGCCCAAAACAGAAAAAGCAAGCACCTAATAGAGACAAACAACAGAAGGAGTTTCCCTGTTTAAGGATTTAAACACATCTCTTAAGCAACAAGCCTTCTTGGGCGCTCTACCTACCAGGCTCATTTCTTTGGACTTCAAAGAAGCAGAACTTCCCGAGGAGGCTGTGGACGCAGGGCTGCTGGAAGCATCTTTCTTCAGCAGGCGGTTTTTGTCGATTCCGTTCTCCCGGGGTGAGTGCGCAGGGCTGGCTCGTGGAGAGGAAGGGTCCTTAGGGAACACAAGCGGTAGTTTTCATGGCGTGGCTCGTCACGGACAGACGCAAAGCACACTGGAAGTGCTTTATGTCGAGTGAGGGGTGCGGCTGTCAGGGGAAGATGATGCTCACCAATGACTTGTGAACATGTACAAAGAAAACAATCCTATTCGCCTTCTGCCCAAGTACCCTCCCTAGAGGAGGTTGAGAAAAAATGGAGTCAGACATCCAACTTAGGAATCCGAATGACCAAGGGAACGTGTTTTATCTTTTGGCCTCAGGAATGCTAAGCAAACACTAAAACTGAGCTACATTTCCCAGGCCACAATATTTTTTTGAAAGAAAACTGGTTGTGTCAGTTGGATTTTTTTGTTTTGTGTCAGTACTGGGCTTAAGCTCAGGTCAAAGGTGCTCTCCTCCTGCTCCTTCATTCAAGGCTGGGCATCTACCACCTGAATCGCACCTCACTGAAGAGGCCTTTTGATGACTGATAGGAAACGTTACCTCATTGGACACGTCCACCACTAAGTTGTCATCACTTCTGTCACCATCGCTGTCCTGAAAAAAAAGCACCAAGACTGAGTTTTAAGCATTGTTTCAGTAGCAAACTAAAAAAAAAAAAACAAAACAAAAAAAAACCCTACTGTGGGGTGTGTCACCCACGTCCAGAGTGCCAGCTCTTACAATCAACACCACCTTCCCCTCGTCTCATCTGACCTGTGGCTCTGGAAAGTTCCACACAGCAAATTCTGCTGCTGTAGCAAACCAGCTATCCAATCACAATCTGCTTGTGGTGAAGACAGCAAGGTACAAATACTCGGCACAGCCCAAGGGCTTAGGAAGTCTAGCTGAATCTTGGCAAGTGGTCTGCATGCCGAATGCCACAGCCTTTCCCATCGGACGTCCAGCGAGATGCACGGCTATCCCCACCGCATGCCCTTGAGGACAGTCAACAAATCTTGCAATGATCGACAATTCACAATTATAGAGATAAATTTGCTTAAACCATTTCCCCACGGAGTTGCAGCTTGCCACAACTAAACGCCTATTAAGAAGAAACCCAAAAGCTGGGCACTGGTGGCTCACCCCTGTATTCTAGGCTGCTCTCGGGAAGCTGGGATCCAGAGGATCAAGGTTCAAAACCAGCTTAGATAGAAAAGTTTGCGTCTCCAACATAACTTAGCAAAGAAAGGAAAAGAAAAAAAACAAAGTGGGCTGGCGGTATGGCTCAAGTGGTAGGCCCTGCCGAGCAAGTACAAGGCCCTATACACAGACCCCAGCAGAGTCTCCTCCTCCGAGGCCTGGCATCTTTTTGGAAAGATGAGAGGAAGACAGATGGCAGTATTTGGAAGGCACTGCCATCCTACAACACAGCTTTTATTTTCTTGTCATAGAGCTGGAAAGTTTGCTTATCAATGGAAATGCCACGCTTGGACTGAGCTTGGGACAGATTCAGAGAAGCTGTTCAGCTAAAAAGGTGGCTACTCCTACATCAAAGTTTGGGAAAGCTGAAAAAGTCTACTCCTTTTCTTTTTTTTAAATTTTTGGTGGCTCCAATGGTGGGGCTTGAACTCAGGCTTCACACTTACCAGCCATGTGCTCTACTCCTCAAGCCACCCTCTCATCAAAAACTATTTTCTTAGCCAAAAGGCCTCACAGTCTTAACTAGAGAATAAATATAATGCATGTGAAATAAATAGGATACATTGAAAAAGGGTAGGTCTGTCGCTTCTTATCTAAAAGCCCTTTTACCAATGCCCTTGTCAGTTAGGTTGATACAAACAACGCTTGAGAAATACTAGCATGCACAAGTGCAAACACACATCAGCACAGCCACCGTCTGCCAGCCCCCAGTCCAGAGTACATTTGCCCTCGACTCTACAACCTCCCGACTTCAGCGCTGCTTGTCAGTCACACCCTTACATGCTCCCAGACTCGAGGGAGGCCTGAGTTCTTTCGATGACGGGTACGCGTACTGCTCGCATTGCTGCAAGGGCACATGCAACCCTGCAGTGCCAACATAAAATGATAAGCAGCCAGCACAATCCAAAACAACAGTCTACTGAGAGCAGTATTTTCAAGAGGAAAACCCACTAATAAAGAAAATTTTGTTTTCTCTTAGAAAAGCCCCTAGAACGCAACCTGTCTCAGTTGGTAAAGTAGGTAGTGGCAAACAGAGAGAAAGAGAAACAAGAAGTTATAAAAATGACCACACATTACATGGGCTGAGCTGGCTAAAAGCAGCAACATTACTTTATTGGAATGGTTCTTCTTTGTGATTTTAAAAATTCTTTTTCTTTTTAATGGATGTAACTGTATATTTATAGGATATGTAACTGTCTATGTGCACATAGTGTGTAATGATCAAAATGGGATAATTAACATTTTCACTTCTTTCTCTCTTCCTTCTTTCCATTTTTTATTTTTATTTTTGGTGCCAGTACACGGGCTTGAACTCAGGGCCAGGTGCTACCAAGCAGATTTCCCACTCAAGGCTGGCTCTCTATCACTTGAACCACACCCCCACGTCTGGCTTTGGTAAGGTCAGAACCTCACACTTCCCTGCCCAGGCTGACTTGGACCTTGCTCCTCAGATCTCAGCCTCCTGAGTACTTAGGGATCTACACACAAACACCTAGCTTTCCCTATCCTTTCCTCTTCCGATTCCTCAGAAAACATGTAACAGGTTGTTGCCAACTTTTCAGCCACATTACTGTGACACAGAATACTACAGCTTAGCCATTCTACTCTATTACCCGCTATCCAGACTCCCTCTCTCCTTCCTTCCTCCCTCTTTCTCCCTCCCTCCCTCTCCCTCTCCTTCTTCCTCTTCTTCCCTCCCTCCCTCCCTCCCTCTCTCTCTCTGATCTCTGAAGCATATAACTGAGTCCTCTAGAATTTAAATCCTGGCTTTGTATTAGGTTCTTCTGCCAATGGAAGGCTTCAGGTATAGTAAGCGTCTGCCATCGAAGATGCGAGGCCTTGTAACCCAGACTCTTCACTGTGATCTCGCCACCAGCCTCACAACCTGATGCGCTGAACACGAGCAGGCCACAAAGGGCCATGCTAAGATGTGGCTGCTAGGCCTGTCCTGACCAGCCACAGGGCACGCATGAGTCCCACGGAAAGGAACAAAACCTCTCCATTTCTGTATGGCCTAGACCACCTACTTGTTATGAATCCTTACTAATGTTCCAAAGGGGACACCAGCGGAGGGCATATGCTAATGACACAGGAGGAGGGCAAAGCCGGCGCTGGAGGCTCACGCCTGTCATCCTAGCTACTCAGGAGGCTGAGACCTGAGGATCAAGTTTCCAAGCCTACCTACAAATCTGTGAGCTTCAATTAACCATTAAAAAGCCAGAAGTGGAGGTATGGTTCAAGTGGTAGAGTACCAGCATTAAGTGGAGGAAGCATAAGGCCCTGAGTTCAGGCCCAGTACTGGAAGATTTTTTTTAAAAAACAGCATGTACAAGGCTGAGTGGAACCGATGGTTTGGTTCTTAGGGTGTTATCAAACGTAAGTGTGAACTGCAGACTAACCCAAGGGCCTCTGGGAAGTGCACCCTAGGACTGGGTTTAGGGATCTGAGGCGGCAACTCAGGAAGCAGTGATGTTCACACGGCCCTGTGGCCTTTGGCAAATCACTTCAAAGCCACTAGGAATATTTCTTACCTATAAAATGGAGATGGCGACATACAACTCATTGAGATGTAGTCACAAGAATCTAACAAAACAACCCCACTGTGCTCATACACTGACCTTTGAATGGATGTGCTGAACTGAAATCCCTTTGTAGAGCTGCTGAAGAATAGTAACATTGTTCAAAGAATGAACATATAAAAACAAATAAACAATCCATCTAAGAACGAAGAGCTGTGGCCTTAACCTGAGTTGGTACTCAAGCCCGCAGGAGACAGAGACCTACACAGCCACAGAGCCGAGGGCCCTGCTCCAGGGGCCAGTTCAGCCCTGCACTCGCCTGCTGTCCCTGTGAACGCACCTGAGCTGGGACAGGCACTGCAGAGACGCACAGAGCAACTCCAACTCACGCGCTGGCTATAGTGCTTATGATTTCCTCACCCCCCTCCCAGTCCACAGCCAGTGGCCGTCGGGCCTGGCGCCCCCGAGTGTGGGGTCAGCTGTTGTGTCATGCGTCTCCAGTCATGTGACGCTCACTGACTATCTTCGTGATTGCACTCCTGACACCTGTTCCACTGCAGGAGAGTTAGCGCGCTCACCTGCTTCAGAACACACCTCTGCCACCAGAATAGCCACCAGGAAGATCGCTCGCGACACCAAAACTGTGTGCTCTCGCTGAGCAGGAGTAGCCACTAACCGGACAGAGCCAGCCAGGACAAAGTGAAATGCAGCCGGGCGCCTGCGCTGCACACCTGTCATCCTAGCTGCTCAGGAGGCTGAGACCTGAGGATCAGAGTTCAAAACCAGCCCGAGCAGGAAGAGTCCATGAGACCCAATAAACTACTCAAAAAAGCCAGAAGTGGTGCTGTGGCTCAAGTGGTAGAGCGCTAGCCTTGAGCACCAAGAGGCTCCGGCACAGCACCCAGACCCTGAGTTCAAGCCCTGGGACTGAAAAAAAGAAAAAAGAAATGCAGTCTTCATTCAAAAGTAACATTTGATGCTGGGAATGGTACTCGGGGGTAGACACTTACTTAGCATGCATGAGATGCTTGACTTGATCTCCAGTACCAAAAGAAGAAAAAAAAACTAAAAATTGAGGTTTCATAGATGAGGGGATGGGGCCCTTCTAGAAGCAGTGTCTGGTACAGTGCAAACCCAGGGCCTTAGACAGGCAGGGCATGCACTACCACTAAGCTCTACTTGAAGCCTTCATTTTTTTTGTTTTTTGGGAGGATAGGTATTACAACGTAGCCCAGCCTGGCCTTGAACTGACAATCCTCTTGCTTCAGACTCCTAAGTGCTGGGATTATTGGTGTGTGCCACCAGCCTGACATTTCCATGGCCCATCTAAATGAGCAGTAAGAAAGCAGAGTCTAGATATAAAACAAAGCCCCAAAATGAGTATAACTTATAGTCCTGAGAGAAATAATACGCTACACCATGTAGAACTTGCTCTCTTTAGATAGAATTATTTTAACAGATGTGAAATGATCATGGAGATCTTGGAGTACAAGGAGATTCTCACTTGAAGGTGAGCAGTAAGCAAACAAACATTATTTGAAGTCTTTTATTTACTTACGTAGTGGCTGGAATCCTTATCATCCACTTTTCTTTTCTTGATGTCATTGGAAAATTCAGGCCCATTTCTGCGTTTATCGGTGGCTCTTAAGCTGTCTGGAACCAAGAGGGAATTACTCTACAAGACCAAAAAAAAAAGAAAGAGAGAAAGAGAGCAATTAATCAAAGGTTCCTTCCCAGACCTCTGTGTACACATGGAATCTCAGCCTGGACGTGACAGCTGTTTTAGAAAGGTGATGGTTATACAGCCCTTCATTCCCTGCAAGTCATCTGTCTAAAGACTCTGATGGCAAACATTTATAGAGCTTTCTGCACTTAAAAGGACCCTGCCTCAGGCAATCAAACCATTATCCCCGTGGGTCTTCCAGACACTACTCACTCAGAACGTGCTTTGGCTCAGTTAGTGCGGGAAAACGGGGCCTGCTGTGGGAGTGTGGACATGGTTCTACTCTTTCACACTGCACGGTACTCAGTCAGGCCAGGAACAAGGCTACAAGCCAGTCCTGAGATTACCCCATTAGGCATCGTCCTCACAGTCAAGAGTCACTGTGTACCACTCCAAGGAGACACAAAGAAGGCAGGTGGGGTTAACTGTGTGGTTTCCTAAAAGGCAAATCACATTCTCCACTGCTACAATAAAGGAACTTTTGAATGCTTTTTAATTCATTGTTGAAAATAAGATTTGCTGGTGCTCACCAACAGCACTGAAACTTGAGCCCCAAGGGAGAAATCTCAGCTGGGGAGTATCTTCAACGGCAAGACCAGCTCCCCCACACAAGCAGGAACAAGGCTAATCTTTCCACAAACCACACAGGGATACTTTCATTGGCATATGCTGAGTGGGAACTGCTGACCCAAAGAAAACAGGCATTTTAGACATTTGGGGGGCTGGGGGGTCACATGACATGATCTGACAGCCCTTCAATTCCCATCCCCCCTCACGCCACAGCAGAGAGCTACAATGAGGTCTTTTAAGCACAGGATTAGCATATGCAAGGGGGAAATTTGTTCAGTGATGTGTCACAGCCTTGAACAATGCTGAATGAGCTGCGCAAAAACTGCCTTTCACAAAGCCTAGATAACCCCGCTTTCAGCGGGGTGTTTGAGAATCCAGAGGGGCGCGTGTGCGTGTGCACATGTGTGCGTGTGCACATGCGTGCGTGTGCACATGCGTGCGTGCGTGCACACCAGAGTCAACAGACAATTATTTTACTTTTCTCTGCTGTAATTTAAATCAGAAAAAGTTGGGGGAAACCTTTCAGAAGGACCACATCAAAACAACCCAAAGCACCTGGAGCAAGTATTTTATGGTAGTATCTTCCTCCAAAAGCTGTGCATTTTCATTTCTTACTTCCAAGAGGTAATCTGCCAGGGAGCTGGTTCTCCCCTCGAGGGCTCCCACCCAAAGGCGATCTGAAGCCTGGCCATCTACTTCAGGGGTTGGGGGCAGTCGCTGAGCCCCCTGAGCCCTGCGACTCGTGACTGCTCAGGCGGAGGAGCCCTGAACTAATCACCTTGATCAATGTCCGCTAGAAACATGCCCTTCCTAACCTCTCCACTCCAACATCACGACTGGACAAGGACAAACAGAAGAGCACTCTCACACTTGCAATCCTAGCTCCTCAGCCAGGGGAGGACAGTCCCCCACACTCCTCTCCAATTAACCAGAGAAAGGCCAGAAGTGGAGGGATGGCCCAAGCGGTAGAGCACCAGCACTGAGTAGAAAAATTAAATACCAGCATTAAATAAGTAAGTTAATTCATTAAATACACGTACATACATGAATCCGCCCGAGTGCTCCAGACTCTAAGCAGATGTACCAGGAGCAGAACAGTGTCTTTCTCGACCTTACGTGTGTACAATGACTCAGTCAATGCCGGCAGTGCCCAGCCTCTCCCCACAGGCCGTCTTCACAGCCGTCCCACCCAACCAGCACTGGGTCTCTGGACCGCTCGACCATTCCAAGACAGCTTTTGAACGACGTAGTTTTAAAATGATGTCAAGTGGAATTGTAGATTCAAAATAAACTACACCTCTGTGTAAGGAACAATGTGATTTCTGTCTGAAACGCTTCTGCCAGTGGACCTATGCTTCCACGAGTTAGAAGTTACTACTGTCATTTCCGCTTGAGCAGCTTGCATGGGGCCTGGAAGCTAAAGGAGTCTTGAAAAGCTCTGAGAAGTTTCTCTGTATTTCAGCTGGCCTCGTAATTAGCAACCTTGCTTATATCTCAAAATTGGTCCCGTGCAGCCGGCACACTTCCATGGGTTTAGGAGACAAGATGTCTCTTCATGCCTTTGATATTACACAATCAATTCCGGCTGCAGGGGGACCCCTGGCAGGCCCCTCCACCTAAGAGGAACCCCAGCCTGACACTTTGTTCCCACCAACAGTTTTCTGGGAGAGACTGCCCGGCTTTCTAGCCCTGACGCGGATATGGCGATTGCTCTTGCTGTCAGCAAATAGCTCCAGCCTAATGCGCTACCCTGGCGGCAACATTAAGTGTTTTGCTTTGTGCCACCGGCCAGGAAACCCTGATGTGGGACTGTCCCTGCTCCCGCCTCGGGCCTCCCCCACTGGCCGTGCTGGCAAGACGGCACTGGGACGGTCGCCCAAACCACTCACACACATCCTAGAGACGGCAAGGCCTGAGTACTGACTGTCCTTCTGCTCCTCCGACTCCCTACCACAGAGCATCTATGTAGGTTCTGTTATCTAACACATACGTAAGAAGAACCCTTGCCAAAAGAACGTGTGTGATAAACACTCACGCATTCCAAACCCAGAAGACACAATTGCACTCAAATCTGGGAGAAGGCCAAAGCAACCTTTAAAAAAACAAACCATATTTTTTGCCAGGCACCAGTGGCTCACGCCTGTAACTCTAGCTACTAAGGAGGCTGAGATCTGAGGATCACAGTTCAAAGCCAAGCTAGGCAGGAAAAGTCCGTGAGACTCCCATCTGTAATAAACTACTCAAAAACAAAACAAAACGAAAACCGCAAGTGGAGCTGTGGCTCAAGTACTAGTAGAGTACTAGTGTTGAGCAAAAGAAGCTCAGGGACAGCACCCAGGCCGCATTCAAGCCCAGGATCTGCACTAAACAACTAAATACATAAATATGTAAGTAAGTAAATGAATAAATAACACACTTTTTGGGCTGGGAAGGTGGCTCAGTGGTAGAGCGCTTGCCTTGCATGCCTGAGGCCCTGGGTTCGATTCCTCAGCACCACATAAGCAAAAAGAAAAAAGCCGGAAGTGGTGCTGTGGCTCAAGTGGTAGAGCATTATTAGCCTTGAGCTGAAGAGCTGAGGGACAGTGCTCAGGCCCAGAGTTCAGGCCCCACAACCGGACCGCCCCCCCCAAAAAAAATATTTTTCATGAAGCCAGGTACCAGTGGCTCACATTGGTCATCCTAGCTACTCAGGAGGCTGAGATCTGAGGATCTTGGTTTCAGGCCAGCCCCGGCAGGACAGTCCCTGAGACTCTTATCTCCATGTAATCACTAAAACTCAAAAAGTGGAGGTGCGACTCAGCGGATGAGGCCCCAAGCTTCGGTGAGAAAGCGTGCACAGGCCCTGCGTCCAGGCCCCACGACCAAGACAGTACATGCTTTGCCGCCCAGAATGAAACAACTGACCCACCTGGCAGCACAAGAGCTCGGCGCTGGAAACAGCAATTACAGCAACAGTCAAGAGCCCCTGGCCGGAGGAGTGTGAGCTCCCCGCCCTTTTACTCACGCATCCTGACACTTAGGGGATGGCGCCGACAGGCCCTTCTGCCCAGCCACAAGCCACAGCCTGCCACTCAGCACCTAGGCCTCCAGACAGCACTCGCCACCTAGAATTCATTTGTCAAATATTCATCTGCCAGATAAATATTTAATCGCGAATCCATTTTTTCTGATCAACACAAGGAGCAGTGTTTCCACACTGACTGATAGGCTCGTCCCAGCCAAGAAACGCAGTGCTGATGTCACCTTGCATCTGGTAACATGCAAGTATCTGCCAGCATTTCCTCCAACACGGTAAATACTGGGCAGACTTCTGTTACAAATGTCCTGAGGACTGGGATTCCCAGACTGTGTATAAGTTTTCCATTGTCTTAAAATTCTGTGAAGAAATAAACAGAATTGTCTTCTTTACCTTATGTTTTTCTACAAGGACTCAAGGAGTTAGTCGGCTCAGGGGAGGTCTGACAAACCTGAGCAAACCAAGATCAGAAAGCACAGTGTTTTCAAAACAAACTGAAGCTCTGAAACCATAATGATTTTTCTACACCTTATGTGTTACATACGATTCAGGATATAGAACCAAGTTAAAAACAAACACGCAGAACGAAGAGGCCCTTTCCCCGCTGTTCCACAAGAGGGTCGTGGACCTCACGGGCAGATGAGGTCAATTCAAGCCTCTGAAAAGCAAGCAAACACCAACGATCTCGGCCTAATTATAAAGCCATGCATTCACAGACAAGCTTATAAGGTAAGCTACAGGGTCTATAGAAGGCCACTGAGTATCCCACAGAAGCTCTGGAAAATGCCAGGATCTAGACTTTGACCACCATGAACCTATTCTGTATGAGAGAGCAGCCATGCCGTGCCCTCGGGCAGCTACTGCAGACTAAGACAGCAATGGTTCAAGAGCAGCCGTCAGGAGACGAGCTGTTCTTGCCAGTCACTGGTGGCATACACCACTCATCCCAGCTACTCCCAGCTACTCGGGAGGCTGAAATCTGAGGATCACGGTTTGAAGCCAGGCTAGAAAATCCCTGAGACACTTATTTCTAGCTAACTAACAAAAAGCCAAAAGTGGGCCCGGTGATGGTGGCCCCTGTAATCCTTGATTCGCAAGAAGTCGAGATCTACGTTTGAAGACAGCCCAGCTAAGAATGACTTTGAAACGCTTATCTCCAAGGAACCATCAAGACAAACACAAAAAGGAAGTGGAGGTGTGGCTCAAGTGGTAGAGCACTAGCCTTGAACAAACAAACGCTGAAGGACAGTGCCTAATCCGTTAGTTTAAGCCCCAGAACAGACACACAGACTCTGACAGACAGGCAGACAATATGCACACACACACACACTTTGTCTTTACAGTCTTTTTCAAAAATTGTACTTCC